ACGGCGATGAAACAAACATCAAAATCTCCGCCATTTTCTTCTCTACGCGATGCCGACGTCTGCGCATGGCAGCCGCGCAACCCAAATAAGGAAACTGTCGGAAAACGCAGGGGTAGCGAAGTAGTCTTCGGAAGGCTTCGGCGCCCATGACGTCATGGTGCTGCTCATTAGCTATGCCAACGTCATGATTCGGCCGAAAACCCCGCGAAAGGGTGAGTCCAACGTTGACATCAATCGGGGGCCGCGCGGGCATGAAGACAAAGGGACGCAGCGGGACTCGGCGCGGCGGAACAATGGCCACCGCGGGGTGTTAATTGCGAGCCCAGTCCTTGTGTATAATGTCCTTGGTAAAGTATACTTCTAGTTAACAAAACCCCTAGAACCTCCTTGGTCAAACTTTCAAAGTGTGCAGAACAAATTACAGCTGAACTGGCGACAGTACTTGACATTTACAAGCCAGATAACAGTAGTGAGTACAGAGTCATGGCTCAATCAAGACATAGCAAGTAGTGAAATATTCCCCAGCAATTACATACCATAGCACACCGGAAAGATAGACAAACTGGCCAAACAGGCCAACAGGGATGATCTAACCCTTTGTAAGGAACCTAGGCGAGCAGTAAAAACCCCACTGGTCCCGGGCTGGGGTTCGAACCCACGACCTCCTGGGCACCAGAGCTTCATAACCAGACGCTCTAACCACTCCGCTAAAAGGTCTAGACCCCTCGGCCGGGTCAGTTGGTAGCACCTATAAACCCCCCACTGTTACACTACTCCCCCTTTTCTTTTCAAGATTCGTCCTCGAATCTTCTGAATTCGACATCCCTGGAGCGGCAAATCCAGCAAAGCAGTTCCAGGCAACTGTAATGCAACTGACAAGTACTGATGCTTCAAAAGAATTATTCTGACTGATCTCTTACTGACAGTTACTGTCTTTACAGTACTGACATGCTACAGGCAACCGCTGTCAACTGCTGACATTGACAATGAGAATGTCACATGTGGCCTAAACTGTGATTGGTGCATTTGAACCTGTGACGACCTTGAAAATGGAGCCTGCCAGGGTAAGTAACATGTGCTTATCTCTCTGTGTGTAAAATGTGTCTATCCAAGACACATATCCAAGACTTTTTAGTTGTGTTGTATTTTGAAATAGATTATTTAAAAAAATATAATACTTTGTTAAACAGATAAACACCACAATACTACTGTTTAGTGCTGCATACCGGTTCACTGGACTTGGATCCGGACTTGAAAGAATGTTTAGGTTCAAGTCCAAAAAAACCTAAAAGTCAAGAACCGAGTCCGTTCATTGCAAAATCTTTGCTGCAAAATGAAGAAAACATTGCCATCGGGCATCGTCAAGTACCGGCCTCAATGTTATGTGGCCAAAGTTTCACCCAGACAACATTGCAGGGTTGCCAACATGCAATATTGTATATGCCATGGGTTTAGGTCCGGACTTACAAGTCCGGAACTGAACCTAAACCTCTGGACTTGAATCCGGACGTGAACCTGAAATTGGGTTTAGGTATGCAGCACTACTACTGTTAGTATCCTGTCCCCCTGTATAAATGGTGTGGTCCAAAAAGTGGTTGGATACTCTAACAAGAGTTTCACGATCTCATACCTTCGCCAAATGATGTTAACCTCCGGTTGATGAGTTACGCAATTTAATCATTTATTTCGCAAATAAGAGCCTCATTTGCATGGATTATGTAAGTTGATCAAATTCTCCAACCAAGGATAGCCTTATCTTAACAAAAAAGGGTATTCTAGCACTTTCTCATAAATTATGCAAATGAGGCCATGATTTGAATAAATAATGCTCATTGCTGTTCACCTTCACTTTACTTCCAAATGTGGCAAGTATGAAATTCCCAGCAGTTACAAGGATGAAATTATAAAGAAGTTCTATTTATGCATATTAGGTCTTGATTTACATAATATATATCCTCAGATGTTTTTCTCGTTCTTAATTACATGTCACAAGTGTTTCATTGTCCTATTATCGAACGAAGCAGATTTATAGAATTTCCTCATTGATAATGAAAATTAGCGCCTGATTTGCATAATTGTCATTTGATTATGTCAAGCATCACTTGAGCTATCTACATACCAAAAATCTCGGCAATTCGTCAACCGGTTCTTGATCAAGTTGAGGTGTTCTCTTTCGAAGATTTTTCAACAAACACTCCTGCAGTTCCAGAACAAGCTGCTTGGAGGCCCAAACATTTTTTCCCTAGCCCAAGAGCTATGTCAGTCATAATGATTGACATCATTTGGTGAAGGTATGAGATCGGAGAACTCTAGTTTTAATATTAGGGCACAGGAGCCAAGATTGTACATTTTTTTGGTCCGAAAATAGCCAATAAGCCCTATTCTACAGTCTACACAATTTCAAAGTGGTGTATGTCAAAGGTGCAGATGACATTCTTTGGACATGAATGAGGTATCCCAATACCAAAGTTCAGGTCATTTGGCTTTAATATTTATAGGTCACAGGAGGCACTGTACATTTTTGTCCGAAAATAGCCACAAAGCCCTATTTTACACAATTTTAAAGTGGCGTAGGTCAAAAGCTTGAATGATGTTCTGTAGACATATGTCCAAAGTATCCCTGTACCAAATGTCAGGTCATTTGGTTTTAGTACCAGGGCTCCAGTAGTCCAGATCTGAAAATGTAAATTTTTTGCCTGAAAATGCCTAAAACCGAAAAAACAAACAATTTTGAAGGCCTGTTTCCAAAAAAGGGAAAAAAACGTCTGGGATATTTGGTCACTCTACCTCCATGCCATCAGCTGGTCCTTTGGCTGAAAAATGGCAGAGTTGAATCCATTAAACGAAATGGCAGGATGAGAAGGAGAAGGAAAAGAAGAAACATGAGAGAAAAAAATATATTTCCTGTATAAAGCCATAATAAAAACAGACCTACCACACAATGTACATGTATTTATCCTCTGATAGCCCCAATGCCATCATACCAAGCTGATATATAACTTTTTAAAAAATTGTTAACTTTTTATTTATTTTCTAAGCTCTCTGAATTCTTGTTGTTTTGGTGTCGCCTTGGCCGGGAGGATTTTGTAGGGTATAACAATGACTGTAAAAATGTTGTTGAAAGGGCAAGAATACCTCCCATAGAGAACTGACTTTGTTACACTGTCTTGAGTTATGAAGGTCATAAGTCAAGAAGATGTGGGTTGATGGGAGGGATCTTTGCTGTTTGGCTCCTATCTTACACAATGATGGAGGCCCTGAGGATCCTTCCTTTGGGGAATAGCCTGTCCCTGATGAATACCAAACAATCTCTTATTAATATTTTATCCAGTTTGTTTTTACCTTTGATAGTCATAAAAAATAAATCCACACCCAACCTACATGTATGAAGTGAGCTTGGCTCTACAGTTTTCAACATTGCTGGATTGAGTTGGAAATTATTCAGGAGCCCAGACTACATTATACATTACCCTGACTGGTGCCCCCGGAACATGACGGCCCACTACACTCCAGTCACTTAATTTATGCTCGAGTCTCAGTGATGTGCACTTTGTTACTAAGGTGTTGATGTTACACAATCATAGGATCCTGCCCAGAGATGGTATCTAGGTGTGTGAAATGGAAGATCATTACACCGTTTTAACCACCCGTATGTCCACACCATCAGTCAGTTTTTTAACACAAACATTGTAAAATGCAGTGTTGCATCTCTGAAGCCTATTGTCAGGCAAGGACATGGGTTCTATTGTTAGGACATCCAAGTCAATTACCGACATGCGTAGGTAAGGCGGGGTTTATGGAAAAAGGAGTCCAGTCCGATTGGCGGAAAAAGCAGTCCAGTCCGATTTTGGGGTGGAAAAAGCAGTCCGGTGGTTTCTACGAAATTTTACGAAAGACCATAGGCACAATTTTTTCTTGTGTGTGTACTTCTAGTTTCTATGGGTACTTCGAGTTTCTATGAGTACTTCGAGTTTCTATGGGTACTTAGAGTTTGTATGGGAACTTAGAGTTTCTATGAGTAGCATCAGTGTCCATAATATCACCAGGGTCCATAATATCGCCACCTTGAGAAACAGTGTGCTTAAAGATATTTTTACTGCAACATACTTTTGGTATGCACTCCTTCACACATCAAATGCACATACCTAGGGTATGTTACAGTAAAAATATCTTTAAGCACACTATTTCTCAAGGTGGCGATATTATGGACCCTGGTGATATTATGGACACGGATGTTACTTAGAGTTTGCATGCGAACTTACAGTCTGTAACTTACATATCATCATCATCATCATGCCTCCGGATTATTACATCATGCCTCCGGATTATTATTATTACGTATAAGTAATAATAATTAGTAAAAAGATGAAGCGGTCAACTGACGAGATTTCCAGGGCCGATCCTGCTTGCAAGTAGCCTGATTAAATCGCTTTACGGTTGCCAGCTGCCCAACATTCAGCCGGCCCCTGCTAAAGCCACGTATGGCAGACTTTGCATTACACTGACAAGCATGTAAGTACCGGAAGTACAATTGTAAGAAAGAACCCCTAATAATTAACTTTTGTTTATTGTGGATAGGTGACCTGAATGTATAGAAACTACTTTTCGGTGGTCCCAAGAGGTGTAAATCAGTTGTCCGCTATTCCTCACCCAAGGCTGCCTGAATTACGGGTTAAGGTGGCATATAGTGAGTCACATATATGCTAATTCAAGTTCCCATACAAACTCTAAATAGTCATAGAAACTCTAAGTACCCATAGAAACTCGAAGTACTCATAGAAACTCGAAGTACCTATAGAAACTAGAAGTACACACACAAGAAAAAATTGTGCCTATGGTCTTTAGTAAAATTTGGTAGAAACCACCGGACTGCTTTTTCCACCCCAAAATCGGACTGGACTGCTTTTTCCGCCAATCGGACTGGACTCCTTTTTCCATAAACCCGGTAAGGCGTGGTTGCACAATGGGCTGCTGGAGTAATGAGTTTTTCAGTGACTGATCAGAGTGGTGTATATGCTGGTACAACCCCACCCATTCTGCAGTCCTGCACAAGCCTTTATGGGCGCTAGTAGGGGCCATCATGTCGTCTTTCCTGGACACATCAAAGGTTAGCCTTCTTTTGCCATGGCAGGCTATTCTGCTCAAAGCAGATGGCCTGTATTCATCAATACCATCAGTAGCTTGCCATTAGTGCATGTAATTGCCTCATGCTATTGTGTTAATTATACATGTATGTACTGTGTAGGCATGATGACAGCTGCCATTGTGAAATGTAATGGAAATGTCTGGAAGGATGTCATACAAACCATAAGACTAATGTCAGTTCTATACTAGTAATGGACCATACTGCAAATCTTCACAATGGTTTTATTTTCTCAGTCACAGTGGCTCTCCACTTAACTCACGACACTGAATATTGCTACAGTATTGTTTCCACCATGTTTCCACCATATGTACCTGTATCTGTTGTTTCCACCATGAAATTTTGAAGACCTTTCTGCAAAATTGGATCCTTGCAAAATATGATGACTTTACTGGTGGTTATTGTCAAATACCTAAAGATCTGTGAGAATTCTAATGTATCACAATTCACTAATTGGATACATGTAAAATGTATATAACGGGAGGGGTCCTAACCCGACATATGTTTCATGCAAACACACATTTCTTCTGACCTAACACCGATGCAACAACAAAAATTGAGCTTTAAGTGACAGATAAAGACAATGATTAAAGCTGGACAGCTGTGTATTGCAAGTCAGTACAGCGTAATGATTCTCGAAACTTACGGCATGTTTTTTGGTTTTTGTGTCATTTTGCCAGTGGAACGATCTATATACAGTACCGTTCGCGTTATAGTTAACCGGGTACCCCGTTACTAACGAGTTAGATTTTCGTCAGAAAATGGTTAGAAAATCGTCAGTATTTGGTTAGATTTTCGTCAGAAAATGGTTAGAAAATCGTCAGAAATTATTTCTAACGCGTTACCTTTTGCGTTAATGTGATAGGGTCGGATTTCATGTTTGTTTTGCGCGCCGACAAGACAATAGCAATTTGCCACCTC